TTCATGTGCTGATAGTAGTTCAACAATCCGAATTAAAACATACTCAAATATTCTGATATGTGTGAAATTGTATGTTTATCGCATACGTACAAGGCACACCCTAACTGTAGCCCTCGAATAGCATTGCGCAAGTACGTATGTATATTACCAGTGCATCAGCACGCCAGAAACATATACAGGTGAGGTCCGAGGATATGTATGTACACATGCCCACAACAAGCCAAGCTTAAACCATTCTACCATACCATAATCAACTCCTTTCAAAACACTTAGGCCCGTAGTACGGGGGAGACTGTTTCGTACTTGCGCACCGTGCCTAATTTGGAAATATGGGAGGTGCCCAAGCTGTTTTCTGTTGACACTGATGAAGTGCTCGGTGCGGTAGCAGGTAGGTAGCCCATAGCGTTGCTATGGGAACCATTAGAATCACTGGGTAGGCTTTATATGACGTACAACAGTATGTATAGTGGCGTGTATACACATTGTTTGGGTATCAGGACAGTCTGATTAGCACACACTACAAACGTCTGTTGACGCCGTGGACACCACTGAGGGCCAACTGGTGAGGCGCGTGAGCTCTGAGGAGAGTGGGGCATATAACGAGAGTGCCCACTCGTCTGTTTAGTGCGTACTGGACAACTGGGTCACTGTGCATACGGCTGGCACGTGTGTGAGGTGTACGATCCTACTGCAAGTGATAACCGCACGTGCTAGTGGTAAAACGAAGCGCTTGGTTGGTCCGTAGGCGGAGTGTGGATCTGTCGCAACGTGAGGGAGCGTTAGACAGAGCATATGTTATTCGTACTACTTGTTAGTGTACTTACTATATATGTGGAGTAATTGCCACTTATTTAGAGTGCTTGCTAGTTATTGAATGGTGTGGACATGTCTTACGTACTACTTATTTAAAGTACGTACTACCTATTGCGCAGTGTGGACATGTCTTACGTACTACTTATTTAAAGTACGTACTACCTATTGAACGGTGTGGACATGTTTGATGTACTACTTATTTAAAGTACGTACTACCTATTGAACGGTGTGGACATGTTTTACATACTTCTTATTTAAAGTACGTACTACCTATTGAACGGTGTGGACATGTCGTACGTACTACCTATTGAACGGTGCAGGCTTGTCATGCTTGCTACACTGGTAAGGTGTTTCTCCGCACTGGACAGTACTCTCAACAACGTGCAGTCGTGGAACTACAAGTGATTAAATGACAAACCCCACACTACAACTGATAAAACGACAACCCACACGTGCCTGTCCACGTGTGTGTGTACAGTTTGCCTGTTCATCTTAGTATATAATAATATCGTTGCTGTAGCCGTGCCGCTGTGTGGGAGCGGCACACATCTGCATATACAAGCTAAAGGCATGTTAGCTATAGGCATGTTGGTTTGCCATAGCTCTGATACCTTAGCATGTGCATGTCCTATATTTCTTGTGCACAGATACACTTAACCCTTATCTGGGTAACTCTTGCATCCTGCACTCATAGTTTGGGTGCAGGGTGTAGCAGCCGTGTGGGTTACAGGGTTTACACACGTAGACGCAATGCATTGAATTTTTTTTTTATGCAGACTTTCTCTCAGCCTTGCGCATCACAAACATTCCAGTTATAACTAAATTTACTATGTCTATACACCTTGCGCGTCCCGTTATTGTTATGCCTGCAGAAGCGGTACCGAATCTGAGAAAAATAGATCTGAGACACAACACGTGTATGGACGCGGATCAGGTGGACGCACTCTGCCGTCAGCTGCCCATCCGCGCCGTTGCCATGAGGACCTACCTACCCATTGACGTCAGCCAGCTCACAGAGCTGCGCATATCGGACGAGGTCAGCACGCTCCCTACGCTGTCATCGGATACACTCGAGATCGTCTCTGCAAGGTTTACGCATTCAGGTAAGCAACTGGTGCACCGCTACATACACACTCCACTCAGCCGCACGGGCACGGTACTATTCTTGTTGCACGATGGGTTGTCACACACCTGACACCATTTCAACTGACACGTGGGAGGGTAGTACAGGGCCCTGCGGTCACATCTGCCTAAGTTCAACATGACACACTGGGTAGAGTACCACGCAAGGGTCTCATATCCAGCAACAACCCCTTGCGCCGCTGTGTGTGGGTGGGTGTACTTGTTATAGGGGAGAGCTCACATGTCGTGTGCCCTCCAGCGAGTGCACGGGTATGTGCGTATGAGACGTTCACACCTGTCCAGGGCAAATATAGCCCCAAAAAAGACCCATGTAGTGGAATGGAGGGCAGCTATAACCAATTCGCCAGTGTCCCAGCTGCACCTCCAGCTAACACATCCCCCTCACACCCTGGTTGCAGTACAAGGGTTGCTCGATAATTGTCCATGTCAAGCTTCACCTCAGGCTAGCTCATCCCTCTCATGCTCTGGTTGCAGTACAAGGATTGCTCGATAATTGTTCACGCCTAGCCTCACCTAAGGCTAACACATTCTACAAGGTTTTCTCGATAGTTGTCCACGCCTAGCTTCATGAGCTCTGGAATTATCCACGCCTAACTTCATCTCAGGCTAACACATCCTACAAGGCTTTCTCGATAATTGTCCACGCCTAGCCTCATCTCAGGCTGATACATCTCCCATATGCCCTGGTTGCAGTACAATGCTTGCTCGATAATTGTTCATACCTAGCCGCATCACATCCCCTCATGCTCTGGTTGGAGTACAAGGCTTGCTCGATAATTGTTCACACCTAGCCGCATCTCCGGCCAACACATCCCCTCATGCTCTGGTTGGAGTACAAGGCTTGTTCGATGATTGTCCACGCCTAGCCTCACCTATGGCTAACACATCCCCTTCCTGTCCCACTTGCAGTACAAGGCTTGCTCGATAGTTGTCCACGCCTGTGCGAGCTACGGCTGCCGGGGGTGCAGCTGAATGAGCGCCTGCGGTCCACTTCTCTGCGCACATTGGGCGTCTGCGACATTACAGAGGAGAGGGCGTTGGAGCTTTGTCCTAATCTACACACGCTACATCTGAGGTGGGTCTTGTGTTATATCTGGTATTGACCTGTTTGTGCACATGTTATCTGGGCTGTCCCATATATACCCGACTTGTCTGCATATGCACCCCGTAACCTTTTTTCGGGTGCATGGATATGAGTTTCGGGTGGATGTATATGAGGGGTTATCTGAGGTGAGTCGGCTTTACGCATGTCTGGTAATGACCCGCTTGTGCACGGTTTATCTGGGCTGTCCCATATATACCCGTCTTGTCTGCATATGCACCCCGTAACCATTTTTTTTTGTGATAATACATATTGTGTATACACACTCCGGAAGGCTCGTATCAGATAAACTTTTTGACCACTATTGTACCTAACCACTATTACTATTATTATGATTCACCCACCCACTGAGCGGCACCTTAAGCAATGTACAGTTGACTACTAATGTACCTAGCCACTATTACTATTATTATGATTCACCCACACACTGAGCAGCACCTTGAGCAATGTGCGCTTGGCCAGTGATAGTGTGGTATGTCTACACTTACGCACACTCCAACACACGGGAACGTCCAATAACCTCAGCGGTGTTCTGAGGCTGAAACGGCTGTACATAGGAAAGCTAAGCACCTCCCTCCACTCGCCCACTTTGGAGGAACTCTATATCGAGGACGGGTATGTCTGTGCATGTTTGTTGGTGTGTGCGTGCATGTATGTGTGTGTGTGTGTGCATGTGCATATATATATATATATATATATGTGTGTATATATATATATATATATATATATATATATATATATATATATATATACTATATATATACTATATATATATATATAATATAA